TGTGATGACTTGGAATGGGATTGTGATGAACTTCCACAAACGCTATGCCAAGGAGATTAGTATGTCAGACCACGTCGAGGCATACATCCAATCGATAGTGCTGATGAAGACGCTCGAAAGCATTTCATTCGATAATGGCTATGGATTCCACAAGGATGAAGCAGCAGAGGTCAGCGCAAGGAAACTGAGCGCAGAGCAAGTACAGCCAGATTGTCGGACTATGATCTATTGCCAGAATTAATAATGCGCGTACAAAATTTTACCTCTTTCCGTATGTAATATAAGTGAAAATTAAAAGCTTTAACTAAATTAAAAATTAAATAATTTGATTGAGTGATCTTGTAACATTTTGTGCACTAACCGGTATTTTCAACTGTGGTAATGAATTTGCTCGATATATTCCAACATTGAAATATGGAATATAATTTTCTTTTGCTTCAATAATGGCCACGCAACTTGTAGACTGCAAACTTTACATAAAAACAAAAATTTAAAAGCGATTAATTCCAAAAATTTACTTCAGAAATCACTGTCTTGGAAGAAATTCCAAAAATAAGAAAATCTCACTAAAAAGTAATAACTGAATTTGTCTATTTGTATGTAAAATACTCAGTCCAAAAAGAATGAAATAAGCTATAACATTCTTGTTGCGTTTTCTGTATCTGCAGCTTTCAATATCTGTTCTATTTCTACCATAATTTTCTTCGTCCAATAATATTTCAAAAATTTCTTTTGTATGTTCCTCAAATGTTGAAATTGGGAAACCATTATATGAAATGTGGTCTGTCTGTTCAAGATTGCAAACACAGAGCAAGTCGAATTCTCGATGTATATTAAATGATGCGCTAAATTATAGAACATGAACGTGATTCACTACTTATTTGATTACTTAATCTTTGAAATTTACTTTTTAATTCACAATTTCTAATTATTAATAGTTATTATTTTGTATAAAAATAACCATGAAAATGGTTAATGTCAAATTTAAAAAAAATATTATTCACTAATATTTATAATTTGTAATTTTTTTGTACTGCAAATCGTATCATATCAAAACGACAAAAAAATAAATCATTACTTATATCATATACCGGTGGTAGTATATTTTATTTTTGAGACGAGTTAATAGTTTTTGCATAATCTTTTAATAATTCACCCAGAAGTCCAGTGTACATCAGAAAAATATTCATGTGATAACACTGTGCCTTTTACAATGCCATGATAACAGAAGTCAACTTCATTTTTACAAACAGCTGCATATCCATCGTCAATTTTATATTCTATTGCCTTGCTATTTACATTAAAAACCAAAGGGATAAAATAAAGTGTACCATTTTCACCTGTGAAAATTTATTTTTAAAATTGCTACAACTCAACATTTTAATTTCATTTCATTGAAAAAGTTAAATAAATTTGAAATTATGAAAACTAGCATAGCAAAGTGTGTTCAGTGGAATATTGAGAAAAACAAAAATTCCTTTCAACTTTAAACACTACAATTTTTCATCTGTGTTGGCATTTTAGTATTCAGAATAAATAAAATTCAACTAAATGCAATTTTGAAACAGGTAAAACAATAACATAAAATTGTTAAAGAAATCAAAAATTATTTGAGAAGAATTGTTATTTTTTATAAGAATGTTGCATAATAATTCTAATTTTGATGATTTTTTTAGCAAAATATGATAATTTTCTGCAGTCATTGTAAATCTCTCAATTTGTATTGAACTACACCAAAAAATAATCCAGTCTTATGAATAATTTATATAATATTCATATAATACTTCACCACTCCATTTTCATGGTTTTAAAAATATGATACTTAATTAAAATTGCACTACCTGTTTTGAATTCAAAACATTCTGAATTTTTATACTTAAAAGTTTTTATTGAAGGATGCTTGAACTTACATAAATTTAAAATTAGATCCCATAGTATATAACAATTCTTATGTAAATTAGTTAATTATGCAATTAAATTTGATACAATTGTGAGTTTAATTAGAAATCACAAAGATAAACCAAAACAACCTCTGATTGCTGCTGTAATTGAGCAAAAAATAGTAGCAAAAAAGCTTAATTTCATGCTCATGCACACCACAATTACTGATCTGCTACTCACAATGCACCCTTTTAAAGTAAAATATGGCAGTAATGAAGAAAATTCAAAAATACTGAGTTAATATTTATTTCGATTTTCATGAATATGCATTAAAAAAATTTCCACATCTATATCAATTTAGCACTTAGTTATAAGAAAGTGTTTTAAAGATTGTTTTGCACTTTTTAATAATTTCAATTGACATGCACACTTTGCAGTTTTACTGCACTCACTAAACGATGTATACGTACAATACGTTGCCTAAGGCAGAATCTGAGCTCTAATGCGATATGGTGGAAGTCAGCCAGTGCGCAGAGCGATTACCGGTGAGCTCTCTTCGAAAAAATATTGTGGAGAGATTGAGCGCACTACGCTTGAATTCTGTTTTTTATTTGAATATTACTCTTTGATTTACTTTTGTTACTTTGGTTATTTCATTACTTTTTTCTTGAAGCATCAAGTTATTCCATACCTTATATACATTTTTATTTAATTTTAATTTATGTGAATCACTCCTGAACACTTTTTTAGGTTTGGCGTGCACAAAATGGTCAGTGATCGTCAGTGACCACATCAAGAGAAAGGATTTATAAACTGAATATTGAAAGAGAACTTTCTATCTGTTTTAAAAGCAACGATGGGCATTCGAGAAAGAATGAGAAGCCAAAGATATAAGATAGTTCCTGGTAATTGTGAATATGTTATGCTCAACAGTGTGCATAATCTGTAATTAAAACATATCTTTCTGTATAACGCACGAAAGATGATTCGTGATCACTTGTCAAATCTGACGACCTATAGTAAGAAGTGGATTAGATTCGAAGCTTCCGGGAGTATATTTCTGAATGCGTTTGTCTGGATTTTTATTTATATGTGCAAGTGCATCTGCAGGGTCAGCTCGTTGATATGCATGTTTATGGATGTCTGTTGGTATGTGCGAGGATGTCTGTCATTGGTGTCTGTTGCTATGTGTGTCCTCTGGCGTGAGTGAAACGGTGTCTGTGGATGCGTGAGCTTCTGAATACGCATGTGTCTGTGGTTGTGTATTATATCTGTGGATGTGTGCGCTCGTCAGTGATTCTGTTATGATACTTTTGTTATTTCATTATTTTTTTAAATTATTAAATGATGCCGTGTTCGTGCATCTATGAATGTATGGATGAGTTTCTGGGTGCATCATAGGATACAATATTTAAGTGACGAAAAATGGCACAATATTTAAGTGAAGAAAAAGAAGAATTTATAAAACTTCGTGATGATCACTAACTTGACTAAAATACATCTTTAAAGCTGATCCTCGAAGTTCTAACTCTAAAAATACTACGTAAATATTCATACACTTTCATATCAAAAGTTAATCTTCACGCGCTCTCTCCTTTTCACTATTTACTTTACTCTCCCCTTTTCTTCCTTCAATCAATCATATACATCATTAATGATATTTGCTTCAATATTTAGATGATAAAACTAGAATCTGAAAGGTGAGGCGTGATGAAATATTAGCGACACACGATATTCAATTCAATTTACTTGTACAATTATAGTTGCAGTTATTATTACAATTGATGATCTGAAAATTTAATCTAAAACATAAGTGACATGGAGAAAATCAGCAACGGGAACTAATTAAGAATAAATGGAAAGTATTTGACATGTGATTCATTATTAATTTAAACACGTGATTGGCATTGTATGTCAATGATTAAAACGATATGTTGAATTAATTCAGCAGATCTTATTAGCATCAAAAATCAGTGCCACACTTCCGTGTTTGGTTCATTGTTTTAAAGCGTTCATAGCGAATAGTTGATGGAGCAAAGTTATTCAGCAAAATGAACAAAGAGTAAAGTAAACCAATGCCAAGAAGGTCACCAACAGAGGTCAATAGAGGTATCGAGTTATTATCTGGATCCATTCGACACCACCACAACCAGTAAACCGTCACTTGACAAAAGTAAAACAATACCACAGCCTGCAATATCAATAAGATGCATTAATGCAACACATAAAAAATATAAATATAAGACTGAAATTAAATCATGCGTTCTTAGCAAATTTATAGCATTTTATCCAATCGATTTTAAAAAAGTTAAATTGAAAACATTGTAAAAAGTTAATATTACTTGGATAAAAGCGACAGCAATGTATGTTCCAACTAAGATCCAACTGAAATCAACATTTTTGGCTGTGAAGATAACAATAATTACAAATAAAAAATTATACGGAATTGCTGTAACTATCAACAGTAGTGCCACTTTGGAATCTAAATCTGCAATAATAAAAATACTAAAACTGACAACTTCAGAGATAATTTTTGACATAATTATCGAAAGTTGTAAAGGAATACATGCTTTTAATTAAGTAAATGTGCCCATTTCGTGGACTAAATTTTTTTTTAAATAAAAATAATTTGCCATAAAAAGCTTTCTT